TGAAATTTAAGTGATTCTTTGGTGAGGCACTCTCCGATTTTACAATATCACGGAGTAAAACTTTGTGAAACCGATGAAATTATAAAATTTCAACATTATAAAAAGGGAAAAGTTTAACTGCCATGTTTAGCTCAGTTCCTCTTTCTATTCCAATTTTTATCCTTTGAAATACTTTAAATAATGCAATTAGTTAAGAGGTACTAAAATTGAAAAAAGGCAAATTGATTATTTTTTTGTCTAATATAACCTGGTAATTATGATTTCCAGGGATAAAAATTCTCGAATATGCTTTTAAATTTCAAAGAGTCATTCTTTTTCATTTCTGTGAAGTTCATTAGCAGCAAAAGTAGAAAGTTATCAGGAATGTTATCAGTATCTAAAGTGATCCGAGAGCTTCTTCATACCACCCAATTGCGAACATAATTAAGAATCCCGTGATAAAGCCGATATTTTGAAGCGACAGTGTAATATACCATTTATCATTCGTCGACGCGGATTCTTTTTTCAAATGTACCAACTATAAAAAGAAAGTGCACAAGCATTAAAAATATATTTGAGAGATAATTCAAAATCAACTCAGACTGAATTGCCAAATCAAGCTATTTTAAGTTGAATTAAATCAAGTTTCCATTCTTTTCCTTAATTTGGTTACTGATGTAAAATTGAAACTCTGAGAATTTGAACATTCAAAAATCTCTTAAAAAAGTATTACTCCATTGATACTGACAAATTATTAGGAGAAAAGAAATTTGTTGACATACCATATCGAGCCAAGCAACGTACAGAAACATTCCGGCCGTTATGGCAAGCAATATTTCCACAGCACTGTCCACACTAATTGCCGCTAAACCAACAAATAATCCCGCATAAGCGGTTAGAGATGAAAGAAAATTCAAGAACATCGCTCGAGGAATAGAAAGACCGGATTCGATCAAGACCGCAAAATCACCTGAATTTAATGCTTCAAAGCAGAAAAAATAATGAAAAACTGAGTTGAGATGCTTGAACATTATGAAGTTTTGAGTATTAAAAATTCAGAAATTTAGTAAAATTTGAATAAAGTAAAATTGAAACCTAATTCATGTGGTACTTCGTGACATACAACAGCGATACTTGTTGCTATACCAACTTGATTTGATATAGCAAAACTTGCGCCAACAGCAATTCCATCGATGAAATTATGAATTGCGTCACCGAAAATGATCACGAATGCGGTGCTTTTAAGGCCGCACATTACTACCGGTTCATCCGCAATACCGTTGCTAACACCGCGATGACAATTATCAATACTCTTTCGACTTCCACTTCAGTGTTTAACATTTAATTTTTATACTTCTTACAAAAATGCTTTAATATTGAGGAGAACTAAATTAAA